TTTAAGTTCTATTGATAATATTATCAATAGAACTTATTTTATTTCATATATGAAATAAAATGTTGATAACTGAAAATACGGTGCTGAATAGTTTTTTTTTAATTCGCATTCAATAATATTGTATGTATTTCACTGTTTCAACGTCTTGCATTATATATTTGTGTTTATTATTTATACATGGTTAATTGTTATTATAATTTCGTTCTTCAGAATATTGAAAATTAAGTTGTGCGGAGTCTTAGCTCGCAACTATCTATTTATACTTTTTAAGTTTTAACGTACACAAAATGATTATTATTTAATAAAAATGAACAAAAAAAGAAAGCATAGGGGAAGAGCTGACAAATATCGATAAAAAAAAAAAAAAAAAAAAAAATGCTATTGATCGAAGCTGTGAAATGCCAAAGAATTACCGACATATTCAAATTTACAATAAGTTACTAAATAATTTAATACATTGCAAAAAAACTTAATAGATTAACTGGATTATCAAGTAAATATATTATAAAATTAAATTATTAAATACCAAATATTGGACTCTATATATCGAACTATGCCCTACAGTAAATAAATAAAACAATTACCATTTAATTTGTAATTAATTAAAATATAGACTAAAAATAATGAAATAATGCATAATATTTACAGATATTCCAGAATAAATATTTATCTTATTAACTAGTTGGTTAATTTTTTTAATTAACCTAATAACTTAGAATCCATATTTCCATAAGTATCTACTTGTATTTAAAACTGTTCTCAATACAGAATTAGTTAAATCACTATAGCTAGTGCCTAACAAAAAGAAATAAAATGCAATATAAATAGTATATTATTGATATTATATCAAAAATATTGAATTTTGCACTAGGTATAACTTTAAGTTTATGTGTAACCTAGGTGGTAACTAAAAATTTATTAATAAATTTCTTTTTAATTGAGTTAAGCTTATACTTTTTTTCCACATTGACTTTAAAGTTTAAAGTTAGTTATATTGTTTATTTACTACTATATTATATCCAGCTTAACATTCTTAATATTGAGTTAACTTAACAAAAAAAAGTTAATTTTTTCATTTTATTTTTACATTTATATAGTTATTTTATAATTTTTTTTATATTATCTGTATGTGGTCATTATACTCATGTCTACAGTATTTGATTAATTTATTTTCCTAATGTAGACCCAAGTATCAAAATAATAATTTACAATTATATTTATAAAACTCATATATTATGGCTATTATTATAGAATTCAGTTATTTATACAAAGAATTTCTTTGTTGTAAATATTTAGTTTTAACATAATTTGAACTTTAAAAGTTCGAATATCCATTAAATAAAATTGTACCTTTACACTTCTTATATTTTTATTTCGGTAATGCCTTCTTATGAGGAATTTTGTATTACATTTTCAAACATTAACCATAATTTTTTTTTTTTTTTTCTGAACTTAAAACGCTTTTAAAAAAGATATATTTATATATTTTTAATATTTTGAAATTACCCGAAGAATAAATTATGCAAGATCTTGTTTTAAAATAACCAACAACAAATATTTGATAATAAATAGTTATTATACCTGATACAACGTAATATCGTTGTATGATGTCGGATGCTTTGAATATATATTTAATGCATAATTTATAGGTTCGAGAATATTGTATTCAGGTTTAATTAATTAAATCTTATTATAAATTCTTAGAACCACGTAACTATTATAAAATATTATTTTAAAAACAAAATTTAAAATAAGAAAATATTAGTGATTAAAATAAAATTAGTTAAAAAAAAAAAAGTATTTTTAAATATATTTATCACAAAGTACTTTTTTTTATTATTATTTATTAGAACACATTATAATCTATAAGTTTTTTTTAAAAATAAACACGTTTAATAATTTTTTTAATTTTAAACACTTTAAAAATATTTAAATACGCCTTAAAGAAACAATAGTTTGATATTCAGATAATTCTGAGAAATTTTTAAGTTCTCAAAATCTACACGAATGTAAGGCTAGGATCACACTATGCGTTTTGTCGGTTCCCGACCAACCGGAGCCGAACCGCAACACTTTAAAATAAAATAGATTTAAATATAAAACGCATTATCAGGGCCAGACTAGACCGATTTGCGGAACCGATTAAAAACCGTCGGGAAGCGACCGCAACGTGTTGCGGCCCAACCGTCCGATTGCGTTTCGGGATGTAAAGCACAACACATGCAATGCAATTTGTCCGATCACATTTGTGCGGATTATCGGTAACCGAAATTGAAAATTTTATGAATAATTAATAATCATTTTTAAATTTAAATAATTAAAAAACTTAAAATATATTTGTAATATACATATATATATATATATATATATATTATATTTTATTTATATTATAGATGTATATTATTATTTATTAGCATAATTAGTTGATACACGTTTTAAATAAAAACAAATAATTCTAATTACACAACCTTTTTATTATTTTTTTACTTATAATACTAGATACATTTCGTTTAAATAAAAAATCAGTTTAAAATTTAAATTTAAATTAAAAACGATTTTCGGGCTTTTTAATATCATTTGTATGTATTCGGTTACCGATAAAACGCACAGTATGATCGATCGTCCCGATTGCGGTTAATCGGGATAGTATTTTTCGGTTGCCGACAAAACGCATAGTGTGATCCACGCATTTTTATATTACTAGCAACAATGTTTTATCCAGGATTCCGTAAACAAGTTTTGTCAGTTGTACAAAGGTATAATAATTAGCATGAAATGTCAAAGCAATAATATAGTAACTTTACTTATCAGTTACCACAATATTTTATTCAAGTCACTAGTCAGTTCAGAGTTGTAGACCACGGCCATATCTATAATATGTTATTTCATCCTTATTAAACTGCTTCATAAAGTATTCAAAATAACTGAATACAGAACTTATGGACATATACCAATGAAAATAAATCAACAACGACACTCAAGTATAAAAAAAAATTATAAATATATTACAAATAAATCTAATACAGTGGAAACCGTTTATAATGACATTCAAAGAACTAGCCAAAATTGGTCATAATAACCGATAGTCATTATAACCAAAATGACAAAAATTAAATTAAAAACTCTTTTATATACATGCAATGAACAAAATATTTTATTACAATAACACAGCGGTTCTCAAACTTTTTTGTTCGCGGAGCCCATATATTCCTAAAAAAAATTACGGAGCCCCAAAGATCAGAAATGTCTATATGAGACAACAAAAATTCATAAATAAATTATGCAATTATAATTAACAATTGTAAATGATTTGCTTTTTATTTTTATTTTCTGTAAAATACGAATATATACGATCCATTTGAATTTTTATTCACAAAAAAAATTGTTAACAATAAAAACAATTGATGGTAAAATAGGAAACACGTAATACGAAATACACACCGAAATAACAATATTTGCGTCAGCGGCCGATGAATAACGAGTAATGACTGAAGAATCAAGAAATTATTAGAACTTCGTAGAATGTAGATTGTACTATTGTAGATAAGTAATCTAAATAATTATAGTACAACATGTCAAATGAACAAAAAACCCGACTTTTATCTAATCTCATTTTGACAATGACACAAAATATGACATATGTGGATTTATAAATATTTTAAAGTTTTAAACGTTTAAAATAATTCATATTGGTACGGTCTAAATAATATTGATTATAAAAATAAAAATTTAACTAAGAAATATAATAATAATTTAATAATTTAAATTTAATAAATACAAATATTCTCAGGGAGCCACGGAGCCCCTAGACTACTCTCGCGGAGCCCTAGGGCTCCGCGGAGCACAGTTTGAGAACCGCTGCAATAACATTTTTAATGTGTTATTAATGTTATTATATTATATTTATGTATATAAATCGTAAATTTAATTCATATAGAAAAAAAATAATAATACAATTTTTTAACATTTAATTATTATGTATTTTAAAATTAAATTTACTGTGTATTAAAAAAATCCGTAATCTTAGTTTGAATTTTATTCGTATAAAAATCATTCTCTATTTTTTTTTCTAGTTTTTCAAAATTTATTGTTGAACTTACATTATTTAAAACCATATAATTTGATAATATTTTTATTGCATTGAACACACAAAATAAATAAATGCATTACATTTAAAAGTGGTGGAAACTCTAGATCTAGAATCTAAATTAAATTATACACCGTAATCTCGCCGATAAATTAGATAAGTTACAATCCCAGCCCTTTTTATAATATATATTTTATCAAATAGCCTATAAAGATATACGTTATTGATTTACAATATACGTTATTCTACGTCAGCGGTTCCCAATCTTTTTGAGACTATTACCCAAAAGTCAGGTTAGATATTCACAAATACCCCCGACCCCAAAAAAAAGTTGAGTAAAAAAAAACAAAATATATACTATGATGATAATTATAATTTATTTAATTTTTGCAAACAAAGAAAATAAGAGTTCTCAAAACTATTAATACTTTTAACAACAATATTATATTATTACAATTTCATTTACAGTCATAATACACATGAGTAAATGAATAATAAGTACTTAAAATACAAATAAATAGTTTAACTTTTACCCTCCAAAAAATCGTGTTTTTACCCACTAGGGGGTAATTACCCCCAGGTTGGGAACCGCTGTTCTACGTATATATAGGTTTTCTTACTTTTCGCTATTAGTGTTTTCGCTGTTAAAATTTTTCGCGGTTTTCACATAGACTCTGTTATAAAACCTTCGATTAAATTAATAAAGTTATCATAGATAAAACCCTTTTCCAATAAAATCAAAAATAACCGTCATAACATCCGTATAGTCATTATACAGATGTCATTATAATCGATACAAATTAGTACATACAATATAGAAGTTTTGCCGGGACTTGCAATCTAAGGTCATTACACCCGGTATGGCGGTATGTCATTACAACCGGTGTCATTACAAACGGTTTCTATTGTAAATTCATGCAAAGAATCTGTTGCGCCGGATATTACGTAATTCTCGCCAACTCAGCCATCTCGGCCAATAGCAACCGTTTTTGATCGCGTAACGGAAACACTTATTATTACCGCTGATGGCCGCCATTAAGGTCGTTTGAACGTCCCACTCGCACCCGTTCTGGTGCGCGAACTTCAGGCACTTGTAGTGACCGTGGTGCGCGGCGGTGTAGGTGGTGTTCGAGTCCCACGGGCATCCATTGCGGTGTGCGAATTTCAAGCACTTGATGTGGCCGTTCTGCGCGGCGAAGTAGCACGTGCGCGCGTCCCAAGGGCACCCCTTACGCTGCAAGTATTTCAAACACCTCAAGTGGCCGTTTTTCGCGGCCGCGGCGCACGTCCTCTCGTCCCACGGGCACGCGTTCATATGTGCGTATTTCAGTATCATGTAGTGGCCGCCGGCCGCGGCCCTGGTGCACGTGCGGGCGTCCCACGGGCACCCGTTTCGGCGAGCGTAATGGAGGCTCCTAATGTCTCCGCTCTCGGCTGCCGCGGCGCACGTCGACTCGTCCCACGGGCAGCCGCGTCGTCGCGCGTAGACCATGTACGCCAGGTGGCCGTGGCGCGCGGCCTCCGTGGTCGTCCTGGCGGTCCACTCGAAGCCCAACCGCCGCAAGTACTTCAGCACTCGGAGGTCGCCGTAGCGCGCGGTTATCGCGCACAGGTTGCGCGGGAACACGAAGTTGTGTCGCCTGGCGTACTCGAGCGTGTCGAGATGGCCGGCGCAGCCCGAGGCCACCCACACCGAGACGTCGAGTATCGGACAGCCGTTCGCGTGCGCGTACTGCAAACATTCCACGCTGCCGCTCCAGGCGGCCGCCTCGGCGGTCCGCCAATTCCACCGCACGCCGATTGCGCGCAACTGCCGCAGACAGTCGACGTGCCCGTTAATGGCGGCCTCGCGGCACAGATCCAGGCCGCGGCTCGGCCGCCGCCTGTTGCCGGTCGTCGTTAACAGGTAATCGCAACACTTCAGCAAGTCGGCCGGCTGCTTGTAGCCCGGTATACTGTCGTACCACAGCCGGTCTTCGGGACTGCACTTGTGGTACGCCATCTTCAGCAGACTGAACGCCATCGCGGCGGTGTCGGGGTGCTCCTCGGATGATAAAAAAATGTCGGGTGCGCGCGAAGAGTCAGTCGTGTTCGCTTGGTGCGGCGTCGATTAGCGAAGACGACGGCCAAAGCGTAGAGCAGTTATACTGCAACTGAAAAAAAAAAAAAAAAAAAAAATATGTAAACGCGTAAGTATAACGTTGTATCGTTAAAACCGTACGCGTGTATACATTATTCGGATATCGTGCGAGTTGTGACTGGCCGTCTGTAGCCGCAGCCCGCACCCGCGAAAATATCGCACGTCCGCGAACTTGACCCATCTACTTTAGCCTAACCTGAACCAATACCAAAATTTAGCAAATGGTTAGCAAATATCAGCAGATCATTTTTGTTTTTTGGAAGTTGTAGCGCTTTTTTAAAAAGGTGGGTCAAGTTCAGTTAGTCCACCCACTTTGTCCGATCGTCTCAAAACTAGCACGAGTGTTAGCAAATAATAGCAAATCGAAGTTCTATTTTTAGCGAATTTTTTTATAAGTTTCTCAGCCCCATTCGCTGTCCTCTTGTAGGTAATAGGTACTCAACACGAGTAATTCCGGTTCTTCCAGCTAACACATAACACAGTGTTTTCATTTTTAATTGTATTTTTGTTATATTAATTATAATAAAAATAAACTCTTTAACACCCTTTACCATTTGTGTATGAACAATGAATAATAATTTATTGTATGCAGACATCGATTTAAATGTAAATAATTCTCATAAACCTCTGTAATAATTGGCAAAGGTGGGCAAGTTAATGAAATATTTAACTCAAGTTTAGTTAAGTTAAAAGAGCATTAGATCGATAAGTTAACATTTAATATTGAAAAAAATACTAACTTAACTCAGTTTAAAAAAAGTTAATCTATTTGATTTTGAATAGTATGTATATCATATAAAGAAAACTACCTATGTCTTTCTAGTTTACTAAATTATAAAAAACAATTTCATTTAATTTTTATCATAATGCACATTGTACAGAGTAAATACCCTTTTACGCTACATGATATATTATTTATTAATTTAAACTATACACATCTCAAAGTAATAATTTAATAAATATTATTTTTTTATGTGATATAGCAATTAAAGGTCATAAAACTTTAAAACAATACAATTTATAATTCATAATTTTATTAAAAAAATTTCTAATATCAACTGCAAAAAGCTAAGTTATTTCAACTGTCAATTAAACTCTTTAAGTTCATAAGTTGATTAGAAAATAAACTAATTAGTTAATGCCCACCTTTGATAATTGGAATAGGTCATAATTTATAATATAATTAAAATTTGTTTTTATTTTTTGATCAATAAAGTAAACACATTTATAAAAAGTATTTTTTTTAATTAATAAGTTATAATCTGTGGGTTTTCTTACTACTCTTAACAATAAATTTAAACTGTATCTATATAAACTACAAAACTTAAAGTGTAATAATACTTTATAAAATGTATTTAAAACCGTGGTAAAAGACCTATTATATTCATAGATAATAAAGATGATATAGATTGTATTTATTTATTTATTTATTATAACTGATAAAATTCGTTAGTTTATATAGAATTGATAATGATATTATTGAATTTATGAGATAGTCAAAGAATATTTTTCCGATTTCTGGTCAGTATATGAATCACTTATATCTATTTCGACTATATTTTTATGTTTAATCAATTATAGATATACCTAGAGTATACGTTTTTTCAGTTTATAAAACACCGAACATAAGTGGAATATTCATAAATAATTACTTTGGTGGATTTGAATAATATAATTTATAATACAAATAAAATATTGGTACTTTTCCGTTATCCCGATTACCGGCTAATGCTGCGACTATACGGCCGGTCTAATTCCGTTTGAAATTACAACTTATACGATGGAGATTCATTCGATAATGTATTGAATGATATTTCGGAAAATTGGCCACCAAAACTAGAATTTTAGACTTTAATATTTTAGAATTATTTAATTCTCCACATTTATGATTTTTATCTATAAATATTATATAATTGTCATATGTATGTTATGTGTAATAATAAACGTTATACACTTATACCTACTATAATATTAATTATATTTATGTAGATGAAAAATTCATGTTGGTCGACACTTTAAAATGGTAATTGAGATAACGGAATTGAAATTCGTGGTAGTCGGGATAACGGAAAAGTACCAAAATATAATTTATTATTTAAAATTCTATAGTTATTAACTAAAAAAAAAACCAATACTGTAATATTACTAGCGGACACCCCCTTTGAAAAATTCTGGTTGTGCCACCGTTGCAAATACTACACATAATAATGTTGTTGAATAGTCAAACTGATTAAGATCACAATTTAATTGGCTTTTTTTTTTTAAAGTTTCTGCGAACTATTTTTGAGTGTTTAAATATTCATAGTGTGTTTAAATGGCTGTTTTTTATTTGGTTGATCTCTGTGCTGCACTCGTACGAAATAAATTATTTCTTTATATGTGCCATGTGGTGGTGTTGGTGATTAAATGGTTCGCGTATTATCCCTGGAATATTCGGGAGATGGTAAACTGCGACAAAATTTAACTTTTTTTAAAAATCGATATGTAAACTACGGCAAAAAAAAAATTTAATATTATACAATCTACGACAAAACCGATAAGATACATAATACAAACTGCAGCAATTTATTTTATATACTTATACACGTTTATCGTTTCATTAGGTGTAATACGTATTACGTGTTATGACAGCTATTAGTATCTCTTAGAGTATTAGGCGTAAAAATAAAGAAAAACCAATTTTTAAAATTAAAAAATATATTATTATTAAAAATTAGATCGTAATGATTGTATAATCAAAAAACCAATTTTAAAATTAAAAAATATTATTATATTAAAAATTATTTAAAAAAATCGTATAATCAAAAAAAAAAAAAAATAATAAATAAATAAATAATAATACAATAGGTATCTAATTAAAATTTTGTTGTTTATTCTTAAAACATACTATTTTCAAAAATTCATATCTTGAAATTTGTCCATCTTCTTTCATTTGTCGCTTTATTTCTTTCTTGTATTAACCCTTTTTCTACACTTTTAATTTTTATATATGTGTCAACTTGAATATCTTGTAGAGCATCTATAAATGTATATAATGATGGACGATAATGATAAAAATACACGTTAAATTTTGAATGAAAAGATTCACATACATTATTTATTATAACCTCTGATTTTGATGCCCACAAAGAAGGAGGGAATATGCCTTGCATATAATTTTCAGTTAAGTAATCGCAAAATTGTACTATTTGATTATTAGATGGCATATCTGAAATTAAATCAAAAACAAACGAATCTTCGACTTCATTAGGTTCAAGGAACGGAAGACCAAAAACATAATTTAAAAATTTTCCTTCATCTGTGTCTCCTTCAATATAAACTTTAGATAGACCCAAATTTTGTAATTATCTAAACCACGCTTGGCCGAGATGAAAATTACAACCACGAATAATACTGGTTGACCATATACTGTAAACCGCTTCGTGTATTCCAATTTCGAAGTCAATTACAAACATACTTGAACCAAGTATAAATCCTTCGGTCAAACATGCATCACGTAACTTTTTAAATAAATGTTCATAAGTCGATGTACGTTTATTAGGAAGCAATGCATATACCAGAGACGTATAAATACCATTTTGAAAACCATGCAGTACAAAAAACTGATAAAAAAATGTAGTACAGAACTAGAATGTTCCGTCCATAAAAACTTTTTCCATAGAACATAAGTTAAATACATATTTAAATACAATTATATTTGTTTCCTTATCATTAATTAGCAAAAAGTTTTCATTTTTGTTAGTCATAATATACATATTTATTAGAACTTCATGTATTTCATTAATATCTTCGGGAAGTGGTAGGTGATATTTGGTTTTTTTATTATATAAATTTCTACGAATATATAAAATATCATTAGTCAGTAATTGTGTATCGTTTTCTAAACTACGAAGTTCTTTTCTTATTATTTTAGATGGCATTTCATTTATATTGCTTTCAGATATTTTTCGTTTGATACTATTACTTACTATTTGACGTTCAATTATAGAATCTAATTCATAACTATGATCCAAAACTGATTTTTCTTGCAATAGAGTTTTTTCCTTATTGAAGACCAATTTGGCCTTGTATGTTTTTTTAGTGCATTCCCATGTTTTATTACCACTTATTTTAGGTTCATATTTAAATTTGAATTTAAAATCGTTTAACACTGTTAATACTTTGCCATTCTGGCTAAACATTGTTGTAAATTCCATGACGTTGAATAAATATTAAGCTCTTAATTACTTCTATTAACAATTTAACATCTAACACTTGTAAATAGGTACTAACTAGTATTATCAAAAGTAAAGGAATCGATAATACCGATATGTTTCGTTAAAACTTAAAAATACATTTGGATTTACCTTACCAATTTTTACGCAAGACGCAACATCACACAATTACTTTAACTATATACGTATATAGGTACACATAGGTAGGTAGATATAGTATACATAGAAAGTATGTAAAATAAATTGCCGCAGTTTGTATGATGTATCTTAACGGTTTTGTGGCAGATTATATAATCTTAATTTTTTTTTTGCCGCAGTTTACATACAGCCGAATATTCAATAGGCAACTGACATAACACTTTTGGTCGTGTACTACGGCTGAAGTGCAAGTTTGGTGGAGTAGTAAACGACAATTATTGAAAAACGTGTGTGGTGACGGTAAACACGGTACGCGTGTGAATGTCATTGCTTTCAAGTTTCAACTAGGTACATAAAATATTTTATTCTGACGAGAAATAATTTATTTAAATTTACCCTAAGAAAATTATACTTAATCATAGAATATACAGTATAGTCTTATATATATATACAAAAAAATAGTTTAAATGATTATACCATAGGTGCCAGAGTTTAAAAAACTTAATGGGTGCCCGGCCTTAGTATCAATGC